TTCACCAATTTAAACGAGGTTTTGGTGTGTGGTTGGGGGGGGGGGCGGGAATCTGAGCCCAAAGGAAACCTACACATTTTTCCATACAGGGCTTATATGGAACTATTTCCAAGTATTCGAGAACAAACCCCTTTGAGGTTATCAAACGTTTGCTCGACACACCGTTAGCCACACTTGAATTGTTTCCATTTTCACTTTTTCTGTCGTGCGTAGGATGGCTAACGCCTTACATTTTAGATGCAATAGTATTGCTATCCCATTGGCTGCTCTATTGTCCTCACGAGTCTATACTCTCCAGCTTTTTCCTTCACCATACTCATCATTGGAGAGTTATGAGAGAGAGAGAGAGAGAGAGAGAGAGAGAGAGAGAGAGAGAGAGAGAGTTCTGTTTATTGGACCAACTTTAGGAGGTGAAAGAGAACAGAAGCTTTTTCAGATCTAATAAACCATCTTGTTAGTCTTTAAAGTGCTACATTGTCCTGCATTTTGCTTCAGCTACCCCAGACTAACACGGCTACATTTCTATCACTATTGGGCAAATCTGACAGCGCAGCTTTTCGGAATCAGCCCCCGGATGTATGCTCCTTGAAAATCCGGCATTTTTCCTAATGAAAAGAGTTTGCTACCTAATCTATCTCCACGTGCCCACCTGTTCAAATGCCAGAAGAGGGCCCTTGCATCCGGCTAGGGGTTTAGAAAGAAGGTTGTGCTTGGTATTGTTGTTTACAGGATAAAATCTGGTATATTTTTAATGCAAGATCAAATAGCACATGAAGGGGGAAGCACGAAAAGAACAGGCCTCTCATGCAGCGGGAGCCAAAGTATTTGTGGCCTCGAAGCCCAGAAGCGAAATGGACAAAGTTCTAAATACATCTGGCCCGTGTTTGCCACGCAGCCAGAGGTTACGGAAATCGGGGGGCGCTATTGCAGGGAAAAAAAGGGCTCCGCTCCCCGCCTTTGGCTATCCGTGAGCCCTGTGGGTTAACCCTTTGGGCTTGAAGGTGCTATGAGGTCACCCAAAGAAAAGCAAGGATGATCCGATTGTTTCATTGGCTTCTGTGAAGACATGGTTGGAGGCAGCCGGCCATTCAATAGAGTATCTTTAATTATTGTTATTTAAAAAAAATACCAGATCCCTAGACTACGTTAACAATTACAGCAATTTAACTGGGCACAATCCAAGAACTTAAACAGCATAGACTCGTTCCAACACCGCCCAAAAGGTCCGAATTTCCAAACGATTGTAAGCGAGTTTGTTCCTGAGTATTTCGCCATGCACCCGACCTTCCTCTCTTCCTGGAGGCCTATCTAGCTATCAGCTCCATTTCTCCTGATGTCCCCACATTGGTCAATTTCAGAAATGCCCTCACTCTAGAGTCTAGACTGTAGGGTCGTCTCCTGCCCGGTCTCCCCGGGAGCAGTGGGTCCAGTAAAAGAGGCTACTTCGTTCGCCTTGTCTCGGAAATACCATGGCTCTGAGTGGATTTCAGTTCCTTAAGTTTTAGAAACCAGGAACTAACATCCATACAGGGCGGAGGGCAATCCTGAAATTTACAAAGCTGAACAGTGTAGACATACTATCCATTACACGCTGCTGTGTGGATGTAACTTCTTTGTTTCTCAAAAAAAAAAAAATCCGTGTGGGGCTCTCCAATACGTTTGATGCAAGTTTCTTGTTTCTTAAACCATCACCCCACAGCTATAGTCCTCAAACCTCTTAATGACAGGTAAGTTTCACATCTCATCAGATGTGGATCCCCGAAGTGTTTGGGCTTGATTTATTTTCTCTTCTATTTCTCTGCTTTGGTCAGCCACTTCAGCCTAAAAGCAATGTTCGATCACATATCTATTTTCTTCCCTGTAGGTTTTACCAGCATTTTCCCCTCTGTTCTCCCATCACGACCGGTTTCCTCCAGCGGGAAACAGAAGTCTAGCGATTGTGTTTATATAAAGTATTACATATTTAAGGGGGGCTAAATTAATATATTCCGAGAAAATTCTGCACCAAGACGTGTTGCGATTGCTTTAAAATCAACCTTTATAAATTCTATTCTGATGTCAACAACAAATACAAAGATATTATTCTCCACTCTATGGCTATTGTTGTTGTTTTAAAACAAAACGTTTATGTAAACAAAGAAAACTTGCACCTTCGGTCTACACATTCTCCAGCTAAGAAGAACAGTCAAATTTCAACCAGAAACCACAGACTAAAATGGCAGGTTGTTTTTTTTAAAGAACAAACCCTCTTGGGGTTAGATTTTAAATTTGCAAACACTCGCGCAGTGAGGCGTATGCGAAAAGGTCCCCCAATACTTGATAAAATGCACTCAGAGACGTGTTTTTGCTTTGAGAGCTGCTTAATGTTTGGATGGGTGGCCCTGTTAAAAATCAAAGACACTTTTACTCCAGGTAGAAAGCCTGCTATCTATAGAAAACTGATGAGAATCTAGGGGGATTCAACCCATCTTTATAACCATACCGCAGGAAAAATAAAGGCTGCGTATGCACATGTCTATACCGTTATGCTATTTCTTTATGCAGGCGTGTGAGAACCTATATGCACACGTGTCTCTATGTATATGCATATGAATCTCTGTGTGTAACCATCTATAGCTACCTAAAATTATGTGCATTTATGTATAGATATTTAGATCCACATATAGGTTTACGGTCACGACATACATTCATTTACAGAAACATCTCTCTATAAATACACATATTATATTATATTATATTATATTATATTATATTATTTCTCTGCACACACACAATTCCGTGCATTCAGTGCAGTCCTTGAAGCCCTTGCATTAGATCCTTCTACTTTTCAGACTCCTTTACCAACAATCCCCAACCAGATTCTTTTATGATCTTTATTAAAACTGGCAAAACCCCAGAAACTGTTCACTTTCGCTTGTACTATATATATCCAGAGGGGTGGACTGGGCGTTCTTTCAATTGGCAAAGGACTGAGCTTCCTTTATTTATTTAGTGGCTTTTTCCTTAAACACTGTATAAAGAGGCAAGAATAGTGGTGCTGGTTTAAATAGTTGCTCTCATTGTAAATAGACTTGTTTCTGTTGTCAGAAACCAGCATACAAAAGGACAGATTCCTACCTGTCTATTTGATGTAGGAAAAAAGATGTTTCATCTCCTTACATTAAAAGGTATGTTTACTATGAAGAGGGATAGATAGATAGATAGATAGATAGATAGATAGATAGATAGATAGATAGATAGATAGATAGATAGATCATACGATCGTGTTTGGATATGCAATGTATGTTTGATCACTAACACAATTACTTAAAACTACGATCTGTCCCTGAAAGATAATATCTAAGGAACAACAATGACTAACTGTGACTGTTTTTCTCTCAATAGAAAAATCCCGCATCCCATTTTAAAGCAACCCACGTTACAGACTCTATGCACTCGTGTTGGGCCGAAGGTTAAAAAAAGGCGCTGGAGTTTTATTCTTGCTTATCTGTATATGCCACCTGCGTGTCCTTGCTCAAGAAGTAGGTACCAGCATTGCTTGCCTTAAGAGGGAGAAAGGGAAAGGCGACCCGAGTGGGCGTGAAGAAACGAGATCACGGGTGGATTGTGTGACACAGCAAGAGTTAAAACGAGATTTACAGGGCTCCATCCGGCTCGCTCTCTCTCCTATGGGTGTAAATCGTTCAGGAGTGACTTCACTGAAGTACAGGATCATACACACTGTATGTTACCAAAGAAACTGGCCCACCCATTTTTATCTTGATAGTGTCATGGGGCTGTATACCATGATCTAAGGGAGCTAGGCAGGACTTAGGCAAGAGAAGCAGTCAACAGAGATCTGGAATGGCGTAGGGATAATGCATGCAAGGCGTAGAAGAGGGAGGAAAGAGAAAGTTTTGCAATGCAAGAGGAAATGCCGTTCCAGGTCTTGCATTCAACGGAAGCAGAACGAGATCTTAAGTAAAGCAGTGACTATACCTGTTCCATGCGACCGCCGGATCTGTTCTGCAAGAGAAGAGATTGAAAGGGGAGAGTTAAACAGGCTGGTCAATTTCAACACAGCTCTATATTGTGGCATAATGCAGTCGAATTGCTACCAGAGGCCCTTTACGACGTTACCATGGTGGGGGGTATGACATTGCCTTGAAATCGAAATGAGTTTTAGTCACTCCCAGTCCTTATGAAGGCAGAATCTTTTAAAATACAACCGCTTTCCTTTCCGACCTAACCGTATTTTCTCTCTCTTAAAAAAATCCTCATAAAAAATAAATCCGGGGGGGGGGGACCGGGAGAAGGGCATTAAAGATTTGTTCCCTGTCCTAAAAAACAGTACACCATGGATTTGGCTGTTTAACTTGGAATACATACAAGACAAAGGCACGGATTCAGCATTCGAACTCAAGACATCATGAGTTAAACCTGATGATCATCCATTTTTATTAGCATCGTATTTTACATGTCCTGGTCTACGAGACTTATGGGAAGCTGAGAATAATTTGCAGCGTGTGTGTGTGTGTGTGTGTGTGTGTGTGTGTGTGTGTGTGTGTGTGTGTGAGAGAGAGAGAGAGAGATGCACCTTTTCATTAACAAATGAGGCGTAAAATGATAACATGCTGCGGACATTTTTACATAAAGTTACGCGGGGACACTGAAGGCAGAGGGAAAATGCAGCCAGGTTCAATGATCTATTGCCCACGCTGAAGAATCAAGGCTGCCTACTGAGCTTCAGGTTTTGAGATTTCCAAGGGTCTTTAGAATGACATGTTGGCATGTGCCCAGACGCAACTAGAAACAGCCGTGCTTCAACCCCATTCTTTAAAAAAAATCCATCTTTGCAGGCATTAAAATCTAGCAGCTGGTCTAATAAGAACGATATCTCCCAGTGTGGAGAACCTGGTGTGTTCGAGCTCAAGGAATAGGCTGCAGCTTTTTCAGAGACGCAATAGATGGTGGGACAACTCTGATTTTCCTCCCGGTGCATGTGAATAGCAAAGTATGGCGCTAAGACAGAGAGGTATGTTTCTAACCTAAGGTGAGAGGAGACGAGAATTTCAGAAAGAACTGGACAGTTCTTAGAGCCTGACATTCTTCCTTAATCCCCCGCCCCCGCCCCCGTTCCCAGTTGTACCCAGTGCACTAAAACCAGGCAATTGGGATGCAAGGTTCTATTCATAGCCAGGAAGCCATATTTCTGCTGTGTGGTGGTAACTGACAAATGCACTTCCGGCTGATGCTGTAGGTAGCCTCTAAATTCCACCGAATGCTTTAAAATAGATTCTGCCCCCCACCAGATGCAATAACACGGGCCCACGTTCGTGTGCAGAATTGTATCGCCAGCTGGGAGTGGGTATTTTTAAACCCAAAATGGAACTGATCAGCAATCGAAGGGCGGTGAGAAATTATATTGCTCTCTGTCAATGCCCACACATACATTACACAGAGAGAGAGCTAATATAATAAGTATATTAAATAAATCATTCCCTTCCCATGTACGTTTCTCTAGCAAAGGTGATAGGAGGCCTTTGTACTTTTCAAAATTGCCTTAATTTAATAGGAGGAATGTAACCAATGCAAACCAGACACGGCATTAGTATAGTTCTGAAATTCCAGAGCTAATGCCCGGTACTTAACTCTATTGTAACTTGAGATTTGAGTTTCTTTTATACACATAAACACCATCGGCGCAGATCTGCTTATTTGATCATGAGCTACAGATAATGTTATTTCAGTGCTCTGGTTTAGAACACACGAGTAATCTTTCTTAGTCAACATGCCAGTAGTTAGCTAGTAAAGCAATTGGGTTTCCGAACACTGTCATGCTAAAAAGAGAGATATTGAGATAGATGTTCTTATCAAAGACAATCTGCGTGTGTGTGTGTGTGTGTGTGTGTGTCCCCGCACAAATGTTGGAGTATCTAAATAAACTAAATGTACATCAAGCAAGAGAGATACACAATTAAAGTAAACGTTCACATTTTTTCATGTCTTTCAGAAGTTTGTTTAAGGGAAGGAGGGGGAACCCTGTAAAATGAAAACATGCTGCGGATATTAAGTTAGGTGGGGACACTGAAGGCAGAGGGAAAATGCAGACACAGCGGTGGGTGGGTGTCATATATATGGGAAATTTTAGCTGACTGGTAGATAGATAGATAGATAGATAGATAGATAGATAGATAGATAGATAGATAGATAGAATTAAAATACACACTCAAATCTGAGAGTGTTTGCAAAAAGATTTATGTATGTGTGTGTGTTTGCTCTCCCCTACCCAATCTAGGAATTTGCTTCTACAAAATATGGTCCGTATTGTCAAAAGTCCAAAGGTGAGGTGTTTACATTATTTTCTTCTTCTTCTTCTTCTTCTTCTTCTTCTTCTTAAGTGTATCCCTTATTTTTCCCACACATGTGTGTATGTGTGTGTGTGTATATATATACCATTCGGTATTGTGCTCCCTGGCCTGTCACATTAATGTCTTAAAAATTCGCTGGGTTATTCCAAGATAGATTTTTACATCAGAAGGGAAGTACAAATTGGTCCTGATACACACAGGTTATAAATCAATTAGTACAGTTTGCTTGTGTGTGTAGAATAAGGGGGAAAGGAATTCAGCTCACCCATCCTTCTGAAATTAAACCCACTCAGACACAGCTCCTTTGAGGATGCCAATCAATACATGGTCAGTCTACGGTCTACACACTCTCGTCCGTGAGCCCTGGTGTCCTTTGATGGACTTTTTGAGGCACGGGGAAGGGGGGAGAAAAAAAAGACGGAAGAGGGAAATAAAGAAGGGTCTACAGCGGCGGCGGGGGTGTTCTCCCGTCCGTCCCCCCCGGATCAAGGCAACCAACGGCTCATGGCTACACTGCAGCGATCTCATCCCCCTCTCCCCGGCCAAATTGAGATGCCAAGAGTCCGCCCGGAGGGTTTTCATAAGATAGAACCAAGCGTAACCCTCGCCCTTTCTCCCGGGGGAAAAAACTTCTCATCTGCTCCCAGCGCGGGGAAGGTTTTTAGGATGATGTTTGGTCTCCAGAGCCGGGCGGGTGTGGGTCTAGGTAAGAAAAACCCCGGGGAATAATGGGCTTTGAAGCAGGCCGGGTCCTCTTTGCTACCGCCCTCGACTGAGATCTTTGACCATGGCAAAGCAAGGCCGGGGGGAGGTTTGAGGAAGGCAGCAAGCACTCGCTTAAAAAAAGGAGCAAGCCTGTCTCTGCACAGACGACTCCATCTGCATTGGAAACACACAGAGCTCCGCTGCAACGCGGCGTCCTGACCTAGACAATCCCCCTCCTCCCCCTTCCCCGTTGATTGCAAATAATAATTAGCACTTACCATTGCTGGCCGCGGAGGTTCCATGACCAACCCTGCAGCCCACCAGAGGTACCTAGAATAAGGCACCTCTCCCTCTGGCATCCTACCCACTTGTGGATGGATGGTTGGCGCTTGGGGTGACGTAGCTGCAGTCTATCCATTCAAGATATTTTTCCGCCTCCCCCCCCCCCTCCATCCCTGCCTCCCCTTACGGGGGGGTGGCGTGGGTCTTTACCCAGGTAACACATCTTGCAAAGAGCCCAGCTCTCTTACCACATATATCCCCCCCCCCCCAAAAAAAAATCCTGCTTAAAAATGAACGGGGAGAAACAACTCAACAGCGCTGGGTGGATTTTTTTTTCTTTACAGAGAAAGACCGAGCAAGGTTGCAGGATCCAGGCTGTTCCGTGCCTATCTTGTGATCGAAAGACAAAGGGGAAATCTGCCCAGACGCCCCAGCCAATCCCTCTCCCCCCTTACTCTGCCCCGCTAGGCTCGAGAGAACATTAAGAGATCCACATGAATGGCATACATGTTGGTGTCAGGGTTGGGGGGGGGGTTCAAAAAAGAGGGGGGCTTGTAAGTGGGGTGGCGCCTCTTTAAGCGCATCCCCTTTAAAGCCATCAAGTTCTCCCCCTCCCACACACACACACCAC